CAGACTAATGAAACCAGGCATATCAGACAAATAAGAGTAGACATGACATATCAGACAAATGAGACTGGGCATATCAGACAAATGAAACCAGACTTTACATTTAAGACAAATAAGACCAGACATAACATTTAAGACAAATGAGACCAGACATAACATTTAAGACAAATGAGACCAGATGTAACATTTAAGATGAATGAGACCAGACATATCAGACTAGACATAACATATCAGCCAAATGAGACAAGGCATATCAGACAAATGAGACCAGACGTAACATTACAAAAAATGCAAATAAGACTTAAAATCTTCAAACATTTATTTGTGCTTAGTTAAACAGCAGCAACAAAATAGTCATGAATAATCTGCAAACAATCTATAAATAAAGAATTCAATTCAGGATCAACATTTAGTACATGGTTTCATCTTTGTAACATTTGGTACATGATTTTATCTTTGTAACTTTTGGTACATGATTTCATCTCTGTAACATTTTTTACATGATTTCCTCTCAGTAACATTTGGTACATGATTTCATATTTGTAACATTTGGTACATGATTTCATCTCTGTAAATTTTGGTACGATTTCATCTTTGTAACATTTTGTACAGATTTCATCTTTGTAACATTTGGTACAAAGATTTCATCTCTGTTACGTTTAGTACATGATTTCATCTCTGTAACATTTGGCACATGATTTCATCTTTGTAACATTTGGTACAAAGATTTCATCTCTGTTACATTTAGTACATGATTTGATCTCTGTTACATTTAGTACATGATTTCATCTCTGCAACATTTGGTACATGATTTCATCTTTGTAACATTTGGTACATGATTTTATCTCTGTAACATTTGGTACATGATTTTATCTTTGTAACTTTTGGTACATGATTTCATCTCTGTAACATATTGTACATGATTTCCTCTCTGTAACATTTGGTACATGATTTTATCTTTGTAACATTTGGTACATGATTTCATCTTTGTAACATTTGGTACATGATTTCATCTCTGTAAATTTTGGTACGATTTCATCTTTGTAACATTTTGTACATGATTTATCTTTGTAAGATTTTGTACATGATTTCATCTTTGTAACATTTTGTACATGATTTCATCTTTGTATCATTTGGTACATGATTTTATCTCTGTTACATTTGGTACATGATTTCATCTCGGTAACATTTGGTACATGATTCATCTCAGTAACATTTGTTACAAAATTTCATCTTTGTAATTTTTGGTACATGATTTTATCTTCATAACATTTGGTACATGATTTCATCTTTGTAACATTTGGTACATGATTTCATCTTTGTAACATTTGGTACATTTCATCTTTGTACCATTTGGTACATGATTTCATCTTTGTAACATTTGGTACATGATTTCATCTTTGTAACATTTGGTAAATGATTTCATCTCTGTAACATTTTGTACATGATTTCATCTCTGTAACATTTGGTACATGATTTCATCTCTGTAACATTTGGTACATGATTTTATCTTTGTAACATTTGGTACATGATTTCAGGGAATTTTTTTTATTTTGGCTGTTGGTAATCAGCTGACATATTGCGTTATGTTGCATTTCTGAATTGCAAAGTAAAATTACAATATTAAGAAAGCATATAAAATGAAAGAGGCCAAACATTGCAACTGTGTTTGTAGAAATGCCATTGAAATAAAACTCTTCTATCTTTAGTGCAGATATTAAGTTAGATGATATGAAGACATTTATCTTATATTTGTTCTACTGCAATACTTTGGACCACCATGTCTTTGTCATAGAATGAAATAGCCTTGAGTTAGTCTTGGGAAACATTGCTCCACTTCAAACATGGCTTTACCACCTGTAGTCAGTCTTATTTATAATTCTCTCATTTCATTCTTTTAAGTGGTTGAACTACTTGTTCTGAGCTGTACAATAGTTAAATATAACGGTCAAGTCTCCTGATACAGACCATGGAATGTCAATAACATTGTACTTAGTCATTTTGTTGTAAAACTAATCCAGAGACTGAAGGGTCAAGGTATTTGTCTGACAACACGATTGACTTGACTCTCAAGCCATAGAAGGGTCAAGGTATTTGATCACAGCTGAAAAGCTCAGGGTCTGACAACACAATTGACTTGACTCTCAAGCCATGGACTAGACTCCAAACTTTTCATAAAACTTTGAGACAATTGGCTGTGACCAGGTTAAGGATTATTTCTTACTGAAGTCGTTTAACAACAGTTTGGTTGAACAATTCCAGGACAGGCAAACTGAGAATGAAGCCCTGCATTTCAAAGTATGCTCCCCTTACCTAATTCATTCTTTTGAAAACATTTAACATAATCTTTATGAAAAAGGTTTGTTTAAAAAAAATCTTGTAACTTTAAAACTTAGAATGATGAATTCTATACAGAAAGCCAGTAAAGGGAATAACTAGTTCAATGGGAAGATTTGTTTTTAAATGGCTTGGCACTGTCAAAGTTTGGCACATCTTGCAATAGCCTGAGAGGGAGCAAGGCTTTTTTGGAGGAGCAAAAAGATATTAAAACACAGGGAAGTAAAAAAAACAAACATCTAAATATAATAGAGGGCAATGTATTTGTTGTCACAGATAAAGCACATTGAGTTTAAATTTCTCAGATTGATTGATTCAATATTTTCTGTCTGATTGGTTCAAAACATTCTAAATGGTTATTTCATTACAATCAGCTGTTTAACTCACATATTCTTATTTTTTAAGAAATGATTTGCTTTCAATAATAAATTATCAAATTATTAAAAAGTTCTCTTGTTGGAAAAAAAATCAATTAAAAAAAAACAAATAAATTGTTCAAAGAACCAGCATAAAATATAGTGAACAAAAAAATGTCATCAAAACTCGATAGTTTGATTGGTAGAAATTTTAGAAAATAATATTTTATGATTGTTTTAAATAGGATTTAACAATAAAAAAATTCTAATTGCACAAATAACAATAGGAAACCAAACAGATTGGTCCCATACAAATTTTCTATCAAGTTGTAAATGTTTGCAATAAAAAAATTTTTACATTAAATAACAAGCTTCATTTACACAGAATATTTTTAAAAGAAACTTTTTTAGCATCAAGAAAAATTTCAAAGCAATTAATAACATTTAAAGACATCTTTGAATATGGGATCAAGAGAATAGCAATGAAAGAAAGACAAGTGAAGAAAACAGTTGGCATGGCTCAGTCCAAAGTTACATAAAGAGAATGTTCAACAACAGACACAAAAGTCTGCACTTTAGATCAGTGACCACTTGGAGGACAATGTTTATTTGTAAGTACCAATCAAATATTAATCTGTGCAACAGGAGATCATTCTGGACAAAAGTGATACAACTCTTCTTAATCATTTATTCTAAACCATCATCCAATTCACTGTCATTCCTATGTTGAACCAGGCCCACACTTATCTGGCCAGTCACCACCTCAACACATCTAGATCTGGTCAGTCACCACCTCAACATATCTAGATCTGGTCAGTCACCACCTCAACATATCTAGATCTGGTCAGTCACCACCTCAACATTTCTAGATCTGCTCAGTCACCACCTCAACATTTCTAGATCTGGTCAGTCACCACCTCAACATTTCTAGATCTGGTCAGTCACCACCTCAACATTTCTAGATCTGGTCAGTCACCACTTCAACATTTCTAGATCTGGTCAGTCACCACCTCAACATTTCTTGTATCAACTAGTTATCTCCCATTCCTTTACTTTGACATTAAGAAAAAAAAAATTAACTCCACATTCCATTTATATTCAAGTTTCCCTCCACACACACATTAAAGTGTCCCCAACACACATTCAAGTATCTCCCAAACCTTCAAGTATCACACATTCAAGTATTCCTTTCATACACATACACACATTGAAGTATCTATCCCCCTCCCCACACACACAAATTGAAGTATCCCACCAATCCAACACACACACTGAAGTACCCCCCCCCCCTCAATTTAAGTTCCCTCACATTTCCTTCTTGTTTCAACATGATACACAAACAAAAAACCTCATGCTAATGCTGATAAAATTAGTCCAGAATTTAAACAGACTCATTAACATGATTTGTGTTCATTATATTTATAAGCAGAAACTCTTAGCTTTGAAAAACTAATACTATAAGACATTTATAAAGTAGGAACACTAAGAAGTTGCCCTTAAAGATAACATTTCAAAGAACAATTCTACAGCTAAGAGAGTGGCTGGGCTCTTTAGTTACATTTTGGAAGCCCCCCCTTATGTAATCCACAAGACAAGGTTTCCCTCCAACATCACCTGATTGGCAACAACTGAATTGTGCCAGTCAAACCCTGACCTAGCCATTCCTGTGGGTATAGCTTAAAACAAGATGGATTTGAGAGCTGTGACACCATAGTTGGCTGAATCAGTTTCTCAGGGTTAAATGTCAGTGTACTTGGCCCAACAACAACACAGGACATGGAGCAATTATTTTTGTGATCAATATTTTTTGAAAATCAAATTAAACTTTGCAGAGAAATGATTAATTTGGCTGTGTAACATAAATGCACACAGAGGAGCACGATTAAAAATTGTTGAAATTACACTCAATTGCGTGGTAACAGCATGTCAAATAGAAAACTGATGAAGAAAAGTACATGAACAATACAAGACTAAAACAATTAAGTGAAGAAACCATGTTTTTCTCTCTCTCCTACAACAAGGGAGTCCACATACCAGCACCGGTCCACAAGCCTTATGTTGCAGGTGCGTGAGTCTCATATTGCCAGTCCCCAAACATAAGTTATGAAGTTATTGGAGCTTTTTGTGAAAGCCACCATTGGCATTAAACAGTTACTGTTGGCTAAAATGATTTCTTCTTCAAATATCTGTTTTGTGTTCTCTACTGAGACTTAAAAGGCATAAATGTAGTTTCCGTTACAGCAGACTTTCATCTACTCCAACTCAAGTCCTAGAACTTATATCCCCCCCCCCCCCCTCCCCTTTTCACTTGGGCTAGGTGAGACTTCATATGTTTAATTATTGGTAATATTTTGTACACAAAATAGATCGTCACAGGATTTGACACTGTTGACATTGTAGTCCTTGACAGAATTTTTAGTGCAGTTATTTTACGTACTTTTGACAATAATGTTAATGAAAAAAAAATGTCTGTTTAAATTAATGTTTTAACATTTTTTCTTCCACTTACTGCACAGTTAAGCTAGCACAAATGGACTGTTTGGACAGCCAACTAGTATTTATGCCTTCAATTATTGATAAACACCTAATACACTAAATAAAACACTGGTGTGGAAAGAACATTTTCAATTATTGTTTCAAACTGTCTCCAACAGAATATGTTACCAAGGAAGGTGAGACAACCGACACACCAAATTAACTGAGGTAACAGAATATGTTATGAAGTAAGGTGAGATGGCTGACACATCAAATTAAATGAAATACCAGAATATGTAATGAAGGAAGGTTAGACAGCCGACACTTAAAATAAACTGAGGTAACAAACTCTGTTATGAAGCAAGGTGAGACTTCCGACACATCAAATTAAATGAGATACCAGGTGTTTGTGAGATGAATGACATATACAAACATCAGTATGATACCCTTTAATAAAAGTACATAGTTCTCAACTTGTCATCTGAGTTTATGTAATACAAAATCATTCCTATCATAATGACATCATTGACAATGTCTAGCTGCATGACATTGACTGTTCTAGTATATTGGCTGTTGACCTTGCTGCGTCCTTAACCCTGTCATCAACATGATTTTCTTCCAATGATCTGACAAGTTCAAGGACACCTGATGTAAGAATTTCTTCCTGGAGATTTTCTGAGGAGGAGAAAAAAAAATATATATTAAAAAAAAAATGTTTTAAACCTCAAATAAAAAAGTTCAATTAAAAGAACAGTTACAACCAGTTGAACATTTCACAGTTACAACCAGTTGAACATTTCAGTTACAACCAGTTGAACATTTCACAGTTACAACCAGTTGAACATTTCAGTTACAACCAGTTGAACATTTCACAGTTAAAACCCGTTGAAAATTTGACAGTTTCAACCAGTTGCACTCATAGTTCTTTGTCACATGTAGCAATGTTTAAAAATCTCATTACTAAATTAAAATTTGATATTTTGACAATATTGTTTAACCTAACTAAATAATTTATATAACGATTTATTTATTAGACAAGAAGAACAAGCCCCCTATCCCTCCAATCTAAAGACAAAGAAATGACTGCTCCAATCATAGCACCAAACAAACCACCAGCCCTAAACATAATGACATTCCTGCCAGCCCTAAACATAATGACATTCCAGCCAGCCCTAAACATAATGACATTCCTGCCAGCCCTAAACATAATGACATTCCAGCTAGCCCTAAACATAATGACATTCCTGCCAGCCCTAAACATAATGACATTCCAGCTAGCCCTAAACATAATGACATTCCTGCCAGCCCTAAACATAATGACATTCCTGCCAGCCCTAAACATAATGACATTCCTGCCAGCCCTAAACATAATGACATTCCAGCTAGCCCTAAACATAATGACATTCCAGCTAGCCCTAAACATAATGACATTCCTGCCAGCCCTAAACATAATGACATTCCAGCCAGCCCTAAACATAATGACATTCCTGCCAGCCCTAAACATATTAACATTCCTGCCAGCCCTAAACATAATAACATTCCTGCCAGCCCTAAACATAATGACATTCCAGCCAGCCCTAAACATAATGACATTCCAGCCAGCCCTAAACATAATGACATTCCAGCCAGCCCTAAACATAATGACATTCCTGCCAGCCCTAAACATAATGACATTCCAGCCAGCCCTAAACATAATGACATTCCTGCCAGCCCTAAACATATTAACATTCCTGCAAACTATAAAAACCTCTCTGTACAATCTTATTTCAGTTTTTAAGTGATTTGATTTGAATGTCATGTCAGCAGCACTGTCCATGGTTTCATTCTTACATTGACTGGCTTGAGTCATGTTTTGGTGGGAAAAACGCATCCATCGTAAGTATCCAACTAAACAACAGTATATATTGTTTTCTATGCAAATACTTAAGCACTGTTAAAGAGAGTTTGTGTGGGTAGATTAACCTCAATATAATGCAGGAAAACAGAAAGGCAATAATTGTTAATGCACAGCTGTGACAGCTATCAACAAGCCAGAACATAGCCATACTCATACACAGAACTTACTAATGAAATGCAGAAGAATAGTGCATAAATTATATGTTAATTTTATAATAACCCGTATCGACCTCATATACCCCCTCCCACTCTTTTTGTTGCCTGGATGTAACTAGGTAAACACATATGTTACAGTAATAGTTTTTTTTTTAATTACTGGGATTGAATTGCACAATTTCAGAGTGTTGAGCTTAAATAAAATATTCAGACAAAATGTTTCAAGCGTTAAAAAAAAAAAACCTACTGTAGTTTGGACAATTTTTGTCCCTAACTGTGAAATGTTTTACTGCTTTAAATTATTTATTTTTAAAAATGTATTTTCTCAAAAGGAAAATATTAAAAAGTTTAACTACCTTTAAATTCCAACAACTGACATTTCTTAACTTACATGACATTTCTTAACGTACATGAGATTTCATTTAATAACAAACATATCTGAAAAATATTTGGTTTTGTCAGTTTCTTCATAAAGGAATATATTGTAACTTGAAAAAAACCCACCATCGCCCACTTAATAATACCAGAGGTAAAATAAAATTTGTTCAATAAGAAAATTTCTGGTTCTTGGTCAAAGGGAAATAACAAGGAATTGAAGGTTTGCAAAATAGATGATCCCAGCTTTTTTTAAAAATACAAATGATAAAAGTAAGCTTCTTAAGTTTTATGTTCATGGGAATATTCTTCTTCATTAAAAAAAAAAGGTTACCATTTTAAAGGTATGAAAGGTGCAACATACAAACTTGTCACAAATCACCAATGAACTATGTCATGCCAGCAAGCTGTTGTAAGCTACATTGTTACTCAAAGCATAGGACAAGGTGTTAGCCAATAAATAGCTAGCTTTCAAACCTGAACATGAGTTGATTTGTGTGATCTTGTTCACACAAACTATGCGGCTCAAGCAGAATGTTTAGTTATTTAATGATTTCTTCTGTCATTTATTTCTCTACTTCAACTAGATGTTAATATTAATGTGCAGTAGTGTACATTTTTTTTTTACTGTGATTGCGATGATAAAAATAAAAATTCATTAACCACTTCTCTGTGTTTTTCACCCACACTATTTACTTGAGGTATTAAAAAAAATGATGACCACAACTGGACACCAATACAACAGAAGCAAGTTGGTTGACAGAAGAATTCAAAGCGAGCAGCCATTTTTTGGAAGAAAAAAAACATTTATGCTGAACAATCATAGTAGAAAGGAAAAGAAAAATATATTGAAACTCAGCAATCAAGACTTCATGGGCTATGTAACAAGTGACACAGGTCTTACGGAATAGTCCACATTTCCTGAGCTTTAATGACTAGATATTTGGTATTTGATTTAATTTTAAAAATGTTTGAATTTAATTAAGAAAATATTTTAATCTTCAAAATAAGGGATATATGTACAAATTTAATGAATAATGAAACTGTGCATTATCTCAAGTATTTCTGCTTACTTCTTTAATTTTAAAAAAAACATTAAAAGGAGCTAAATATATTTTGAAAATTTGCATAATTCTTAGATAATTTTTTTTGGAAATGGAAATTTAATTAATTAATTTTTTTAAAAATCTGACAATGCATATTTAATAAAATTAGACTGTGTTCTGGTGATTCAATTAATACAATTTTAATTTTAATATGAGCCAAGATTCTTTTAAAAAAATGTAATAGCCATAATAAAAAAGGGAGGGGGTGAGGGTGGGATTTGATGGTAAAAAATTACAATATGTATAGGAAAGTGACATCCTTAGGACAGGAAGATCAATTAAATACAATTCAGTAGGACCATGTCACATGTTTAAACCATAATTTTAAAAAATTACATAGTTTTGATGATAGTTAAAAACAGTTTTTTTAAATGTTTTGTTTCACCAAAGAGTCTTGACAAACAGAAAATACAAGAAAAGCTTCCATTTTTATGACCAGGTGTTACCGTTTCGCCCTTGAAGTCTCAAACCGAACACAAGAGAAGGGAGAGAAGGAAAAAAGAAAGGGAGCCTACTGCGGACGTCGGGCATTAGACCGGTGCAGGCAAGTAGCGCACAAGGTGGAGGCACAGACGGGGAGGCTGAAAGTAGGTCAAGTGTTAGTCACAACATGCTCAAGTTAGGAACATCTTTACTTAGCTTAGTAAATCTAAACATTGGGAAATCTACTACCATGTCAAATAGTGTCATGAGGTTATGATGTGGGCATCAAACAATAATAATACATTTTACATAAAGGTGGTCTCCAGGAGATAGCAGGGGCTACACAAAAATTGAGAACTACTGTTTCAGCCGATCAGAACAATAAAATTAGGTTCATGAAACAAAGATCATGAAATTGTTTCATTTACTGTTGCGCAATGCTTTTGATATTATAGTGGAGAATAAAGGATAAAATCTGGTTCAGATTTATGGGCTATGGGAAAAAACAAGCACAAACTGGGCTGTTAGGAAGCTATAAAACACAATAAACATTTTAGGCATAATTAAATAGCAATTTTGAATATCATGATTCTATCTCATTTATCATGACAATCATACTATTTGCCTAAATTTCCCAAAACTTTTAAGTTAAGAAATTCTAATGTTGAAATGGGATTTTTATATAGAACTGAGGAGACAACCATGACACATATCTGTACCAATTGTCCACAACTGAAGAGACAACCATGACACATATCTGTAACAATTGTCCACAACTGAAGAGACAACCATGATACATATCTGCACCAATTGTCCACAAATGCAGAGACAACCATGATACATATCTGTACCAATTGTCCACAACTGAAGAGACAACCAAGATACATATCTGCACCAATTGTCCACAACTGCAGAGACAACCATGATACATATCTGTACCAATTGTCCACAACTGCAGAGACAACCATGATACGTAGCTGCACCAATTGTCCACAACTGAAGAGACAACCATGATACATATCTGTACCAATTGTCCACAACTGAAGAGACAACCATGATACATATCTGTACCAATTGTCCACAACTGCAGAGACAACCATGACACATATCTGCACCAAGTGTCCACAACTGAAGAGACAACCATGACACATATCTGTACCAATTGTCCACAGCTGAAGAGGCAACCCTGAAGTCTACTAAATGCACAATGGAGAATGTTGCCTTGTAAACAAAAGTTTGTTGACATAAACTAGACACCAGACATAGATTAATAAGACACAAACAAATTGTGTCAATAGAACAATATGAGTTACGCTTTAATAATAATTATACATTATACACAATTTAACGTTTCGGCACATGCCTTCATCAGTTTTTCATCAGGTTTTAGCGCCCTCTCCTATATTTTTCTGTTTTAGGTAGGATATGTATATTGATATTATGTAGATTTAATTTATACTTATTTAAATGTGGTTTGTATGTTTGTACTGATGAAGGCATGTGCCGAAACGTTTAATTGTGTATAATGTATAATTATTATTAAAGGTGACTCATATTGTTCTATTGACACAATTTGTTTGTGTCTTATTAATCTATTTTAAAGCTTTATTGCAGTCCAACACTTTTAGTATAATTAGTTACACCAGACATAGCAGTTGTGATGACACTGAAAGGCAGGTAACTCTTGCACACCAGAAGCTACTGCTGATTTGATGATGGTTTAGGATAAACTTGACTAAAATCCCACTGACAAAATAAACAAAGTTTTTTTCTCCATGGAATAGTTAAAAGTTAGGCACTTTTTAAAATTTTATTTAACATTCTCAGATAACTTTGTTTTGATTTGGCTTGATGTTATTCAGCTTGTTTCAGCTTTCTCAATTAATGTTGGATTCAATCTGCATGCTCATAAGTTTGATCCCCTCTTGTCTAAACATTAAAAAAAAAAAAGTCTTATAATATCAAGTGGGAAAAATTTGTTGAAATGGTTGTAGTTTACATTCATTACAACTTTGAACATTTTGGACAGATGGTTGACTCACTTTGACATTGACATTCTAATCAAGAACACTTACTAAACCAAACAAAACCAATAGCATTTACATTGGACATTTACATTGGACATTTACATTGGACATTTACATTGGACATTTACATTGGACATTTACATTGGACATTTACATTGGACATATACATTGGACATTTACATTGGACATTTACATTGGACATTTACATTGGACATTTACATTTGACATTTACATTTGACATTTACATTTGACATTTACATTATACAAACAAAAAGGCATTTAATATTTTGTTTGAGAGCTAAATTGTACATTTTTAAAAATGAACGGACACATGGTTATTTTAAAATGAACAGACACATGGTTATTTTAAAATCAAACAAATTAAATGATAACAAAAAATTTGGCCTGGGGTAGTAATTGGTCCTTAACTTTTACCTGAAGTAATAATGGCTTGTAAAAGACTGAAGACATTGCACATCATCTCAGCTGGAAGCTTTTCATCTTTTAGCAGCATGATAACAGTCTCTGTTAGGTCAGCTTCTTTCAGTGGAATGGCCGCTTCCCCTAAATATGATGACAAATATTCATATGAATAAATATTTAATGGGGAAAAAACAATTGCAATAATTTTAAAAGGATGATACATGTAAGACTGCGTTCAAGTTGTGTGAAGGAAAAAGTGGAACAAGATAGGCTGGGGCTTACAATCAAAAGAAGAGACAGTCACAAAATAATGTTTCCCCTAGATGTAAAAATTATGTAAATGTAAAAAAAATCACTTAGCTTATTTCAAATATTTATTTTACAAATAAAAACATAACAGGTTATTCGCCTTATACCAATGAAGAGGACAAAAAACTGTGATTTGTCTCCCTGATTAAATAAAATGTTTATACCACTTAAAGCTGTTGTACAAATAATAATCAGTCTAGTCTATCCTACCTAAAGCCGTTGAACAGATAATGGTCAGTGCCATGATGGCCTCATTCTGCATCACCAGGTGTTCAGACATAGCCATGGACACTAAATGGCTGACACCTTCGGCTCGGATGAGATTTTGAATGACAGCTGAGGACCGACTGTTTTTGACTAGAGATGCCATCACACGAGTAGCTTCACCTGGAGAGAATTCAGCACTTCAAAATGCTGCAACTCAGATTTGCCGCTGTTCTTTTTTATAACGTGCAAAAGGCGTCACAGTTTAGGTTAACTAATTTTCAAATATCAATTTCATTTGATATAACATTCAGAATTATTGTGGACAAATTCAAAAGAAAAAAAAAAATTAAATTTTGAAAATGTCTACATAAAATGGAATTTAGTTTTTTTAAATGGAAATATCATCAATTTTGGCTCTAAGACACTTACAAAATAAATCCTATGGTAATAAATCATCTGGCTTTATTTCAAGTGCCACTACCTTACCTTTGACACCAGCATGTGCCTCCACCCCACACCAGTCACTCAAACGGTCCAGGAAAGCACGTTCTTGACCTAATTTGACAGCTGCTGTTTCTGAATAACACAAGTGTAGAACAGTTATGGCTGGTAGGATGTTTGAGTTCAGAATTTTGAAATGCTCTCAGTGGCATATACAGAGAGAATATGATCCTACAATATTTAACTGTATGTATATGTTAAGTATGCTAAAATAGTGAGTATTATGTTTTGTCATTATGTTTTGCCATAACTAAGGCTTCATTCTAATTTTTTTTAATCATGCATTTAAACAAAATAAATCTATTTAGCTCAGCAGACAAGTTATTTCTGTTATACAAACAGTAGAATGATATTCATGAGGTGGATGGATTGCACTGAGTTCAATATTATGGTGACAAAAATGTGGCTGTGCTTGAAAAATGTTTTATAAGCAAGCCTGTCCAGCCGTACCAAACTGTCCTCACACACTCAACTGTCCAACCACACCCACCTGTCCTCACACACTCAGCTGTCCAGCCACACCAAACTGTCCTCACACACTCAACTGTCCAGCCATACCAAACTGTACTGACACACTCAACTGTCCAGCCACACCATACTATCCTCAGACACTCAACTGTCCAGTCACATTAAACTATCCTCACACACTCAACTGTCCAGCCACACCAAACTGTACTCACACACTCAACTGTCCAGCCACAATCTTATGTCCCCCTCTCCCTTTAACAAACTTTCCCCCACACCCAACGGTCCAAACTTACCCAACTGCCCTCTCAAACCAAATTTTCCACCCACCCCCACCAAACTGACCAGCCACATGAAAATGTCCACCAACATGATCCATGACGTCCAAAAGCATCCTGTCACAGCCCACACGACCGTCCTATTGATTTATCTTTTATTTAACTTGCAAGGGATGGGGAAATGATTCTAACATCAACTTCCAGTTTTCAACACAATTACAGTGGATACCAGGCAACAAGGGACTATAACTATAAAGAGATTATCCAGACATTATTCTTTCAGATACAATAAATCATTGGCTTAATTTGACAAGACATTGGAAACATGATGCAGAGTTTAAAAAAATAATCTTTTTTATAATTATATTTGGGCTCATCGTGGACAAAATTGAGAAGGATTTAATCTTGGAATTAAAAAATAACATTTTTTTTGCTTGTTGTAATGTCAACAAATTGACAAAAAATGTCAGCTATGATTTTTTGATGGCTTGATAATCAGCTATAATGTATCCATCATGGTTTTAGCCTTCTACCAAAGTGGATAAAGATGGTCTAGAACAGGGATTCCCAATCACGGGTTCTTGCTACCCAAAGATGCAAAATGACATTTGATTGGGTGTGAGAAAAAGATTTTACAATTTTTAAAAAATAATTTTAAAAAGAATGTTTACTTTTGTAGAAGGAAAAAAAAGTTTGTGTGGGGGGGTGTGGGGGGGGGGGGGTGGGCACACTGAGCCTTAGTCAAAAAAATTCACAGGTTGCAGAATAGAGTTTACAGTATTGAGAAATGTTTACTTTTGTAGAAGGAAAAAAAAGTTTGTGTGGGGGGGTGTGGGGGGGGGGGGGTGCGCACACTGAGACTTAGTCAAAAAAATTCACAGGTTGCAGAATAGAGTTTACAGTATTGAGGAGCTGGCTTTACCCTGTCCTTCTATCAACATGCGTAGCACACCCAGCAACTTGAAGACAACAGCCATGACATCTGTGTTGATCAATGTCAGGCAGATCTCTAGAACACCAGCTGATAAAAGTTTGGGCTTGTTGGACACTAAACAGAAAGAATAAATAATGACATTTAGAACAACACAGATCAGCTTCTGTAGGTCAGCTTAAAAAATACATGATGGTTTTCTGTGATAATAAAATAGGTGTCCAAGTTATTGAGTCTATTTTTAGAAATGGCCTTTATGTTTTAAATGTCAATAATCCTGGTAGTTAGGAGCGGGAACTTCAATTATTTGGGATTGTTTTTTATATAGGGAATAAATATGGTCTATACATTTAAAAACAAAATCCTATGAACTTTTATCTTGGTTATCTATACTTGCCTGGTATGGCCAAGTTTCTGAGCGTGCTGAACACAGCATGATGAAGCAGAAAACTTGACTCTGAGCTGACATTGGTCTTGAGAATGTTCATCAACTTGTCCACAATTCCCCTCTCTACCAGCTGCTGGCAGTAGATTTCTGGGGGCATCAAGTAAAGTTATAAAGTAAAACTGTGATAAAACAGAGTACACAGAAAAAGACAACTCATTTCCATGGTTTGCTCTTATTAAAGGAGTTATTAACGGGGACCTGTAAATTTGCAGGAGAATTGGCCAGCAGGTTTTTAAATTAATGTTTTAATATTAATTTAAAAACCTGCTATCATTATTCGTGAATACTGAACTGATGGCAGAAAGTCCCTATCACTTTCAGCCAAAACCGAAATTAAACAGAAAGTTAACATTTCAGTTTCGGCCGAAGCCAAAATTAAACCGAAATTTAACTTTTTGGTTTCGGCCGAAACCGAAAGTAGGCTGAAAGTGATCAAATGGCCACTTTCGGCACAGAAACTGAAGCCGAAATTCAGTCAGTCTCTAGCTTGAATCATATTCTAAGCCCTAAGCGGGCTCCACTACCAAAAAAAATGTATGGTTATGTATGGCGGGTGTCGACCAAGTCAGAGCTGGCACTGGGGATAAAAAATACTAATTTCAGTGCTAATAGATGCCCTGCCTCACTTCCCCAAATGCCGGAAATACTTGACCCACTCCAAAGTGGAAAAATTGCCTGAAAGAAACTGGTCAAAACGCATAGTCCAGCTTAGGTCATAATGCTTTTCATAATATTACTGAATTGTAGGCTACACACAACCGTTCCCAGGACAAGCCGTGTGCAATTGTAAGAAAATTTTGCCGCCCCTTTCTGTGTGAGGTACATGGGATTTTATCGCTTAATTCACTATTAAGGTCCTATCTTAAGACGATTTTGCCGCCCCTGATATTGGCGCCAGGGGGTAATGACACTCTCGCCCCCTCCTTACACGGCCCTGCACACGGAGTATATAGAAGGTACTATGCCCAGGGCGTCTGCTGCTGTAAAGATGGCCCTGGCTTGAGGTGGGATTAGGAAAAAATAGTTTAAGACAGGACCAGCACAAAGCATTACCCAACTATTACCTTTGTTAAAGACAAGACTACCACACAACATTGAGCAACTATTATGTTTGTTTAATACTAGACTACCTCTTCTGGCAAAGTTGCCTATAGCTAGTGTCCCCAGTGTTTTGAGACTGTCATTGTCAGAAGCCAACCAGTCCACAGATTGACTGAGTAAAGGACCTTCTCCAGACATGTACAGCTGCTCCATGCTCTTATCTGAAAGTCAGTTACAACATTAAAAAACAAACAAATGAAGGATGCAATAAATCCATAGAAGAATGGATTACATCAGATCCATAGAATAATGGATTACAACAGATTTTAGAATGAAACAAGAGCTAACTTAATGGCATGACAGAGCTGGCAGCTTCATCACTGACCAACCTAAACGTAGCTTGGCAACCCACTCAACTTGACCAGTGGGCATTACACAAGAAGGTGAGTTTTCAGTATCTGAACTTCTTAGGAGTTTGGGAAAATGTAATTACAACCTTAGCCTGCCCCCACTACCCACCCTTCAATTGTGGGTTGTCTCCTAAAAGATACCTAATATTTTCTATACTGGAGACAGAGAATTGATGAAGTCTAGGAATTCCAGACTTTAAACATCTGAATGAGAAATATTATGAATGCTCTTTATGAGAGCTTCTCAAATGTGTGTTCCATGAACCCCATCAGCACGCAAGTCTCGCTCCATAAGAGGTCAAAAGTTAAGAAGATTGGAAAAGGGCAGTGATATTACATTGTGCACTAATACCAGTTACAGGATAACTAGAGTCATACTTTGATGTTACACTGAAAAGCGTGAGAAGCATTATTCTACATCAAGGATACTCACCACCAACTAATATTGATACAAGTAGTTCAGAAGCCATCTTGCCAAGTTCTGGGCTGTAGGAATCTGAGTTGACGATGTTGACCAGAGACTGACAGAGACCGTTGTCAGCTGCTTTTTCTTTGGCTGATTCTAAAACAAATATAGAGAATATGTTTATTTAACAACTATAAGCTTATGTTAAGCTTGGATTTCAAACACAAGGCGCACACACAACATTCACACAAAAAAGATTCAAGATATTAAACCAGGTTTATAGTTTGATGAGCCACTGTAAATGATAGAAGTATATAAACATTATTTTTGTCAAGTCCAAAAATTAAAAAAAAAGTCACCATGTGTTGAACAAGCACACATACTTCCTTTAGTTTATTGGTAGTAAATTCAAACAAAAATAAAATGTTGATGTTTTAAATGAACAAAGTTTGAAAGAATAACATTGTCTTGCAAGACTAAGCTGTGCATGAGATTTAAAGAAGTTTGTTAAAGTTAAAGAGTATGTCAAAGAATTTGAAATAAAAAAAAACATTCTGAAACGTTCATCAATATTTCAAGATACAAAAAAAAAGGAAGTGTTGATATTTGACAAATAAAGTGCAGAGACAAGCAGGCACCAAATTTAGCCCTAACAAAACCCTCGCAGATTTACCGACCAGACTCCATGATTCCCGACATCAGGTCTACAATAATTTCCTTGAGGTTGTCCCCTCCCTTCTGGTCTAGTAGTTGTTTAAATGTGTCCAGCAGGCCAGATTTAATGGCCGCAGCTTTCCCCGAGTCTGGGGAATAAAATGTTTCATGAGCATTAACTAAAGCATAAATATGTATCCCATACTCTACTTACATAAGGACATAAATATGTATCCCATACTCTACTTACATAAGGACATAAATATGTATCCCATACTCTACTTACATAAGGACATAAATATGTATCCCATACTCTACTTACATAAGGAGCTCACATATATTACAGTGGTTCAAAACAATTTAGTGGGTGCAACACCCCTGAAGAATAATTTTATTAAAGAGAACTACTGTCTTACATCATCAAGTGTGGCCATGTAGCAAGCCACATCTCTCCTCCACACTGTCTTACATAATCAAGTATGGCCATGACACAAGCCACATCTCTCTTCCACACTGTCTTACATAATCAAGTGTGGCCATGTCACAAGCCACATCTCTCTTCCACACTGTCTTACATCATCAGGTGTGGCCATCTCACAAGCCACATCTCTCTTCCACACTGTATTACATCATCAAGTGTGGCCATGTCACAAGCCACATCTCTGCTCCCTACCTGAATCAATAATACTGCCAATGGTAAGTAATGCCATGTTTGTGAGATCCTCATCCTGCAGGTGGCTACTGATGCATTCATTGAGCTTCTCTAAAACATTGTTGTCAATGGCTCTGTCCTGTAACTGCTCTGTGGAGCATTGAAACAGAAACAAAATAATTAAGTAGACAAACTCATTAGCATATTTGAACAAAATAGAACGGAGCTCCGGAACCGATGTGTCGCGGCACAATGACGTGCCACAAATTAATGTCAGGTGTGCCATGCTAAATGCCTCAAAGAGGGGTAAAAGCTTGATGTTTAGGTAGGTACATCAATGAACCAGGTTTATACAAAAGAAGCATTTTTGAACATCTTTTAATCTCTGTGATTAGAGAACTGTTTCCAATCCAGACTGTCAACATAGAGAGAGCCATGTGCTGGAAATCCCTTATTTTAGCATTAAACAGTTCCTTTTAGCTTTACACGCCATTTGGCATTTGAACGACATTGTTATTTAGAATACATTTGTGCGTGTTTTGTGGTGTTGAGCGGAATTCTTCGAAAGGCTTAGGGTGTGCCGCGTTTGAAGAAAGGTTGCTGAGCTCTAAATTGATTATCAACAGATTTTCGCTGAAAAGCTTCTAAATTGTATTTGAGATATTAAGAGACGCTCGACGTCTTTCTATTGATAGGGTTCCTTGGGTGGCCGTGTGGTTGGTCATTAGAGCGAAATCCCGGGGAAGCCGCTTCACGGAATCTCTCCCGACCGCTTTCGTAAAAGAAGGTGGGATTCTTCCAATAATGGTTCAGGGGAGGGGTATAAGAGCCCTGCGGGGGAGGGGTATAAGAGCCCCGGCCGCTGACTTCATTCCTTTTTGCGTATTTTTTTTCTTTTAATAGGTAGAAAACATTTGAAAGCTAGTGTCTTTATAAGATTTCAGGTCCAGGCAAGTGACACACATGTTTAGGTTTAGGCAAGTGAGACACATGTCTAGGTCTAGGCATGTGAGACACATGTATAGGTTTAGGCATGTGAGACACATGTTTAGGTCTAGGCAAGTGAGACACATGTTTAGGTCTAGGCAAGTGAGACACATTATAAGGTCTATCCAGGCATGTGAGACACATATTTAGGTCTAGGAAAGTGAGACACGTGTCTAGGTCTAGGCATTTGAGACACATGTTTAGGTCTAGGCATGTGAGACACATGTGGAGGTCTATGCATGTGAGACACATGTCTAGGTCTAGGCATTTGAGACACATGTCTAGGTCTAGGCATTTGAGACACATGTTTAGGTCTAGGCAAGTGAGACACATGTCTAGGTCTAGGCATGTGAGACACATGTATAGGTTTAGGCATGTGAGACACATGTTTAGGTCTAGGCAAGTGAGACACATGTTTAGGTCTAGGCAAGTGAGACACATGTTTAGGTCTAGGCAAGTGAGACACATGATAAGGTCTATCTAGGCATGTGAGACACATATTTAGGTCTAGGCAAGTGAGACACATGTCTAGGTCTAGGCATTTGAGACACATGTGTAGGTCTAGGCAAGTGAGACACATGTCTAGGTCTAGGCATTTGAGACACATGTTTAGGTCTAGGCAAGTGAGACACATGTTTAGGTCTAGGCAAGTGAGACACATGTTTAGGTCTAGGCAAGTGAGACACATGTTTAGGTCTAGGCTAGTGAGACACAAGTCTAGGTCTAGGCATGTGAGACACATGTGTAGGTCTAGGCATGTGAGACACATGTTTAGGTCTAGGCAAGTGAGACACATGTTTAGGTCTAGGCAAGTGACACACATGTTTAGGTTTAGGCAAGTGAGACACATGTCTAGGTCTAGGCAAGTGAGACACATGTTTAGGTCTAGGCATGTGAGACACATTATAAGGTCTATCTAGGCATGTGAGACACATATATAGGTCTAGGCAAGTGAGACACATGTCTAGGTCTAGGCATTTGAGACACATGTGTAGGTTTAGGCAAGTGAGACACATGTCTAGCTCTAGGCATTTGAGACACACGTGTAGGTCTAGGCATGTGAGACACATGTTTAGGTCTAGGCATGTCAGACACATGTTTAGGTCTAGGCATGTGAGACACATGTGGAGTTCTAGGAATGTGAGACACATGTCTAGGTCTAGGCAAGTGAGACACATGTCTAGGTCTAGGCATGTGAGACACATGTTTAGGCCTAGGCATGTGAGACACATGTCTAGGTCTAGGCATGTGAGACACATGTTTAGGTCTAGGCAAGTGAGACACATGTTTAGGTCTAGGCAAGTGAGACACATGTTTAGGTCTAGGCAAGTGAGACACATGTCTAGGTCTAGGCATGTGAGACACATGTATAGGTTTAGGCATGTGAGACACATATTTAGGTCTAGGCAAGTGAGACACATGTCTAGGTCTAGGCATTTGAGACACATGTGTAGGTCTAGGCAAGTGAGACACATGTCTAGGTCTAGGCATTTGAGACACACGTGTAGGTCTAGGCATGTGAGACACATGTTTAGGTCTAGGCATGTGAGACACATGTTTAGGTCTAGGCATGTGAGACACATGTGGAGTTCTAGGCATGTGAGACACATGTCTAGGTCTAGGCATTTGAGAAACATGTCTAGGTCTAGGCAAGTGAGACACATATTTAGATCTAGGCAAGTGAGACACATGTCTAGGTCTAGGCATTTGAGACACATGTCTAGGTCTAGGCAAGTGAGACACATGTTTAGGTCTAGGCAAGTGAGACACATGTTTAGGTCTAGGCTAGTGAGACACAAGTCTAGGTCTAGGCATGTGAGACACATGTGTAGGTCTAGGCATGTGAGACACATGTTTAGGTCTAGGCAAGTGAGACACATGTTTAGGTCTAGGCAAGTGAGACACATGTTTAGGTTTAAGGATGTGAGACACATGTCTAGGCCTAGGCATGTGAGACACATGTTTAGGTTTAGGGATGTGAGACACATGTTTAGGTTTAGGGATGTGAGACACATGTTTAGGTTTAGGGATGTGAGACACATGTCTAGGTCTAGGCATGTGAGACACATGTTTAGGTCTAGGCATGTGAGAGACATGTCTAGGGCCCAGAAGAACGTAACGACGGCCAAAAACGAGAACTGACTTGCGAACACTTTACAATGACCATCTATTTTGAGAGAGTGACCAAGTGTTTCAAAACTAATTGTAGTAGAATAGATGTGTTGGAATAACCAGCTACTAATGATGATCTGATAATTCCTATTCGATGATTTTATCAGAGCGTTTGCTCATAGTTCTAATCATAGGAAAACACAAGAGGGATGTTTGTAAAAAATTCTTAAAAATGAAACAAAAAGTCCTTCAATCATCTACTCTACGTTGCAATAGCATTTTACATTTGTAAAACTAAACAGAACTGAAACGTTTGATTGTGCACGTGAAGAGAGCCCAGTCTAAGATTGCTGTGTTAGATTGGTTAGCTTGGTGTTTGATTGAAAAGGTAGACGAAATGACAGATGCTCATGCAATGCACTAGGCTGAGGTGTGCGTACACAGGCAATAGGCCTACTTCATGTCTGAGACCAGGGCACCATCTCTGAGACCAGGGCACCATGTCTGAGACCAGGGCACCATCTCTGAGACCAGGGCAACATATCTGAGACCAGGGTATCATGTCTGAGACCAGGGCAACAGTCTGAGATCAGGACACCATGTCTGAGACCAGGACACCATGTCTGAGACCAGGGCACCATATCTGAGACCAGGACACCATGTCTGAGACCAGGGCACCATATCTGAGACCAGGGCACCATTCATACGGTAATCAAGTTAAGTCTCCCGGGAAGGGGTAGGGGTGTCCCGAAAGCTTCTCCCTTGCCTCCGCCACTGATTCTATGCACTGAATTCTTTCACGCAACCTTTCCGCGAGAGTGTGCAGTTACCCAGCCCACCCCCTTACCGGTCTCAATCAGTTCGAACAGTCGACTCTATACCGTCATTATTTCTTTTTAAAAATATATTCTCATTTCCATGCCTCCTCCATTGGAAATTAGTTAAGGTGATTGGTCATTCAAATAAGGTTCTATCGGAAAGCCGAGGCCTCAAAGTAAAATCTGCCGGTTGAAGAGTTTTCTCAAATTAATGTTGGTTGTCTTTAACACAGTCACGTACGCAGGTGAGTAAGAGCACATCACGGCTCCTTTAAAATTATTATTTTTTTTAAAAATAACAATTTCAAAATAATGTTTAAAAGCCACAGTGAGCTCTGATTGTTTTAGCTATATTTGTTGAACATTGTTGCGTGTATACAATCAAAGTCATTGGTTTAATCACTGACGTGCCTAACAAGTTAGACAAACGGAAGTAGCGATGTCTACTTTTTAACTACTTTAGCTCTGCACTTTCTCACCTGTTGGTTTACTCATAAGATCTCAGCGGCGTAAACAGACCATTATACGTTAGGAGACAGAGCATATTCACACAGACGCAATAATACGCGTCCCCGTGGCTTCCGAAACGTCCGGCTTGTGGCATTATCTGCCCTTATCCAATCTACTGACGCATATTGTCGATCGTCTTTTTGTCGACGGATACTTTTCTAAAAATAAATTTGTTGAAACAAAGGAGTTAATATCACTTACAATAAGTCGTGGGCTATGACTCTCTACACAGTCAATCACTCTATGATACTTCCTCTATTGATCTATAACGTCATGTTATTTGTAAGTCCTTCTCATCGGTGGTTCATTGCTACTACACGTTTCAGACAAGTTTTCTTTCTTTCACAATCATTAAAGACAATTTCACAATTTTTGTATGGACATTCGAAACTACTTACTGACAACTCATTTTATGTCTTACTTCTGACGGACGGTCCGCACATATACGGACAGATGACATCCCTAGCAGTGACGCCAATGCCATGGGGTAGGCAGTGACGCCCATGGTAGGCAGTGACGCCCATGGTAGGTACAGTGACACCCATGCCATGGGGTAGGCAGTGACGCCCATGCCATGGGGTAGGCAGTGACGCCCATGGTAGGTACAGTGACACCCATGCCATGGGGTAGGCAGTGACGCCCATGGTAGGCAGTGACGCCCATGGTAGGTTCAGTGACACCCATAGTAGGCAGTGACGCCCATGCCATGGTAGGCAGTGACGCCCATGGTAGGTTTGGTGACGCCCATGATAGGTTTAGTGACGCCCATGATAGGTAGGTCCATAGGACAGCAAGGAGCTCTGTTCTATCCGAGAGATCAGTTACCCCGATAACTCCCCCCCCTCCCGTGTGAACAGAGAAGTTGATCGAGTCACAGGGTTGCCAATAAATAGTTACCGACCTCATCGTTATCATTGCAATCGCTGTCGTCGTGCTCAACAACACAAAAGGTGAAGAGGAGGGTAATAGAACTGTAAAGAGTGTTCAGGTAATCGTGACGTCACAATCTTAGTCAGGTGGCAAAGGAGATAGATTGGATGATGTTCCCTTTGTTACTGCAGTTGTCCTCCTGGTTGTATTACAGCTAAACAATTGTGTCCCCAGGTTGATTAGCTACAAGAGATCAAACTGTATTTGGAGTAGTCAAGATATGTGTACCCTTGTCAGATATATGAGTACATAAAATGATGACTGAGCAAGCACCAAGTGTGGATTAGACCGGACCATAACCGGTGAGGGGGAAAGGGGGACACGGGGATAGTCGACATTCTCTATGAAAACCTTCCGACCACCAGGGCACTCGTCCACCCCTTGGGTTACCTTCCGATCACCAGGGCACTCGTCCACCCCTTGGGTGACCAACTATTTACTGCTGAATTTTGTGCCTCGCGGTTTTCGGTTGATGTTGTTGGCCAGTCGGCTGAACCCATTACATCGACATGTCAGGGCTCTTGCCCTGGTTCTCTTGCCCTGGTTGAGACATTCACCCCTCAGCTCATCTTATTGGGACGGCTGAAGTGACAGAGACGTGAAATAAAATGGCGGCTAGGTCGGCGTTGCCGAAATGGTGGTCCGGCACCGGTCCACGAGCCTTACGTTGCCGTTCTGCACGACATGGCTATTTTTGGTCGAATAAAAAGTCTGGCACTCTGGGGCAATGTCGAAACTGGACCACCGGTCAACAAAACTTCAAAGTCTGGGAACCACTGCGCTAGGTAATATCCGCATGTGTGGAGCCTGTGATAATCTGGCTCAGGGGTTAAGATGAAAACTGAGAATGGAGGTGAGAGTTATATCCCCTAGGATGCCATCAACTGAAAGATTTGATTAGACGGAGTCTTAGCACACGAGTCATGGGGCACTGCACCAAGAGGAAACCTCTTCTGCATGGCTAACTAATATCAGGAAACGGACGAATCTTTCGGGACAGAAGCGTGCGTGACAATATGTGCTGTCAAGGTTACAAAAACACAAAAAAGACCGTATAAATGAATAGAGAAATGAATGTGTGAGAGAAAGACAGAGAAAGAGAGAGACAGAGAGACAGAGAGAGAGAGAGGGAGGGAGCGAGAAAGAGAGGGAGAGAGAGCGAGCGAGGGAAGGAGGGAGCGAGGGAGGGAGGAGGAGAGACAGAGGGAGGGAGGGAGGAAGAGAGAGAGAGAGAGAGAGAGACAGAGAGAGGATTGGTGCCTAGGCTGAGAAAATCGATAACAATAAGAAACAGAGAAAGAGAGAGAGTGTTCGAGTTATGTGAGAAAGTGGGATGGAGAGAGAGGGATAGAAGAGAGTTGCAGAAGGAGGATTGAGAGAGTGAGACAGTACAGGATTGACCCAGAAACCTGCCAAGAAGCTGACAATGACAATGTTTAGCTTTCATTAGTGAGTCTGACCAGACAAATGTGTCTCTTAAGTTTGGCTCAACAGGGATGTCTCTAAGATTTGGTTCTCTATGGTTTGGCTCAAAGGAGATGTCTCTATAGTTTCACTCACAGAAATGTCACTAACATTTGGCTCTTCTTCTTCTTCTTATATTTGAGGGGCCCACGATCAATTTGCTGATCATTCTGGCTCCTGGTTTAAATTCAGAGTTTGCCTCTACAGACATGTCACTAAAGTTTGACTCTACACAGATGTCTCTAAAGTTTGGCTCAACATAGATGTCTCTAAAGTTTGGCTCAACATAGATGTCTCTAAAGTTTGGCTCCACAAAGATGTCTCTAAAGTTTGGCTCCACATAGATGTCTCTTAAGTTTGGCTCCACATAGATGTCTCTAAAGTTTGGCTCCACATAGATGTCTCTAAAGTTTGGCTCCACATAGATGTCTCTAAAGTTTGGCTCCACATAGATGTCTCTAACATTTGGCTCCACATAGATGTCTCTAAAGTTTGGCTCAACATAGATTTCTCTAAAGTTTGGCTCCACATAGATGTCACTCTCTGATTTTTTTTGTGCCAACTTACATACACTTTATTTTTTCATTTGATTCCAATCAACCCCCATCCCTTTTTCCCACCCCCACCACGTCAAATGAAAAGAAATAAATAAAAATAACAATGAAATAAATCCAATCAGTGATTTGATACAGTGATACCAGCTTGATTATACCAATGAGTTTAAGGTCAGTTTCTTCACACAAACAATATGCAGTCGAGGGAAGAAGAGTGCTCCTGATGATGTTATAGCGGGAACCACGGCTTATCAAATACCTTTGATTGTGTAGACATTGTCAGCTTTGCCACAGAGGAAAGGATCAGTTGGGCACTCATAAGACAAATGACGACATTGAATGAATGTGCTCTGCTACATTATTTCAGAAGATACAAGGTTAAGTGAACATACTCCAGATACACAAAAAAAATTGCCTTTCAGAAACAAAATGAAATTATTCGGGACAAACTCAAGACATTCCCGAGAATATCCGAACGAAATCCCCCTGGGTGGAAGACATAGCAGACATCTAGGATGAGGGGGGAGTTGCTTTGTCCTCACAGACCAACACATCTTATGTCATCTTAAGAAAAGCTGGTAAAAGACACACACTGACCCGTCAAATACATTGAATTTCTGACATTTGGCCAGAATTGGGGCTCCCGTGATGAAGATATTTTAAGTTAGGCCGAGTTCTTGAAATGCACGAACAAGTATGTAAAGCACAGGCCGGGTGTTTTATTTGGGATACTTGAGTTATCTTTGTTGTTCACGGATTAAGTCGACACGTTTGTCAACATCTGAGTGGCCAACCCCTTTGTAAACCTGTGGGGCCAACTGGTTACGTCACTCCAGATGGTTCACGGGTTGACCAGACAAAAGTCATAAGACATGTTTTGTCATAGAAGTATCTACAACCATAACTACTCAGTCACTTTACTTCTTGTTTCTTCCCAATGGTTCCCTATCATTCAAGTAGGTCCCAATGGCTCCGTAACATTCAATTACGTCCCAATGGTTCCCTATCATTCAAGTATACCTAAATGGCTCCACATCATTCAAGTATGTTCAAATGGCTCACTATCTTTTGAGTATGTCAAAATGGCTCACTCTCATTCAAGTACTTCCTGATGGCTCCGTTACATTTAAGTGGGTCTCAATGGCTCCCTATCATTCAAGTATGTCTCAATGGCTCACTATCATTTAAGTACGTCACAATGGCTCTCTATCATTTAAGTAGGTCTCAATGGCTCCCTATCATTTAACAAAGTCTAAATGGCTCCCTATCATTTAACAAAGTCTAAATGGCTCCCTATCATTTAACAAAGTCTAAATGGCTCCCTATCATTTAACAAAGTCTAAATGGCTCCCTATCATTTAACAAAGTCTAAATGGCTCCCTATCATTTAACAAAGTCTAAATGGCTCCGTTACATTTAACAAAGTCTAAATGGCTCCCTATCATTTAAGTAGGTCTCAATGGCTCCCTATCATTTAACAAAGTCTAAATGGCTCCCTATCATTTAACAAAGTCTAAATGGCTCCCTATCATTTAACAAAATCTAAATGGCTCCCTATCATTTAACAAAGTCTAAATGGCTCCCTATCATTCTAGTATGTCCTAATGGCCTCCCTATCTTTTTAGTACGACCCAATGGCTCTCTCTCATTCAAGTGTGTCTAAATGGCTCCGTATCATTTAAGTATGTCCCAATGGAGTATTCGAATTGAGAGATGGAAGTTTGGTCGAACGAGAATTTGATTGAATTGTATTTTTAGTTCACAATATCAAATTTTGCGTCAAATTTCTTTTTGAACGCATTATTTTGTTTTACTATATAATATAGTGCAATCACAAAGAAATTAGACAAAAATTGGATAGAATGAACTGAAAAAAAAAATCAATTAAACTTCCGTTCGACCAAACTTCCCTCGATCAATTTTCCGTTGGCGAAATTTCTTTCAAACACATTTCTGGTAACCAGTCTAAATGGCTCCCTATCATTCAAGGACGTCCCACTTCAACAAATAGAAACTAAGAAAGCCCCAGCACATGTTCTATGTTTGTATTTCATAATTTTATGTTGAATTGATTTCCAAAGGCAACTCACATTATCATATTATACATTGTTCTACTTGGGGCCCAAACTCACACGGAATTGTGAACATTCAGTAAACAGTTATTTATTGGACTCTAATTGAACAATTCTTGTTGAGTTTAAAGTGAAATTATGACAAGAAGTCAAACTTGAGTAATCCAACACACTATTTGGAATACAGCTGTAGAAACAAAAACAACACATCAATAGCAAAACACAAATGAAATGACTTATAGTTGGATTAAAACTGTTCATACATTTGAGCCGGCCCATCAGAAGCCCTATCCACATTTTATGTTTAGAAAAAAGAAAAAAACCTATCCAAGTACAGGAGCCCAAGGCTGATAGGAAAATGTGTACCTTTCTTATCCCCATGAGGGTCATCAAAGGACTGTTTACAACTGAACTTCATTATGTGAGTGCAGGAACACCCAACCCCGCCCCACTGTCTTAATCATGACATCTCCATCTTGACATCATCAAATAATCTACTGAGTAACTTGGTTACTTATATAATCCATTTTACATATTTGTGAATTCGTAAAAATGGTTTCATCTTTTGCATTCAAACCTTAACCATTCTAAAACCATTCTAAAGGTGCAAACTATAGACTGCAAATGTTAGGTAACAACTTGTTTTGATTTGAGAGCTGTGGAAAAATACCCGAAGGACCCAGTCAACACAATTAACTACAGGAACTACTGCAATAAAATAGAGCAATATCAAATTGTACAGTTATAAATAAAACCAATGACAACTTTTAACATGACATGTCATCAAGGACCATAACTTGGCTGGGAACTCATATTATCATATGATGTACATTGTTCTCCTCAATAAAAAAATCTTTTACATTTTGAAGAAACACTTGTAAAAGATGACAGGGTCCTGTAGGGAATGAAAGGCCTTCTCTTTGAATTATTCTTGATATTTTTTATATATAGTGTACTGTTGATGCTCAATAGAAGAAATGATAAAGCAGGTAGTTATTTCTTCCGGATTTATTCTGACATGCCGTATCCTAACTTTAAAAGGCAACAGCTATTTTTAGGAAGACAATTGATTTTTAGGGCTTTACCTGAATCACCAGTATAGCTTTTGGATTTGGCTAACGAGTCAATTCCAATCAGCTATTTTGCCCATAACTGGGGACAACCCCTAGAAGAATTGAAGTTGAAATTCATGGTCAAGAAACCGGTACTGGTTTAAATCAGTAAAGGTTGTGTTTGTGGACAGGTCAGTTGGTGTGTTGCATCATTTCCTCACAGAGGCTAAATACTGACAATGATTCTCATCTTTGAACAGAAGAAGCTATGACAGAAAGATGATGTTAATCCATCAAGACACAAAAGCTCCAATAAACAGATCAACAAACTGACATGAATATTAAAAAACTTACCACAGTTATTGGTCAGGTTGAGAAGGAAGCCACATACAATGACACGTAAACGAGATGCACCATCATCAGTGCTATTGATTTGCTTGGAGAGTACGTCAATTATAATTGGAATGCCACTATTTTTGTCTACTGCTATTCGACCCTTATCTGCATTCAAAATAAATTTTTTAAAATTTAACAAATATAATATTAAAAAATAAAAATTTTGTGTACAAAAATTAAGACTAAAAAACATAAGGTAAAATACCATGAATGTGCAAAATTTTAATAAAATAGCAAATAATACTAAATAAATAAGTCAACTTTGTTGCACTACATCCTTCATTAGCTAAAATGTGAGCTAATTCAAGGTTAGCTTCATGTAACTTGCTACAAACTAGGAAAAAACAGTTTCTGTTATTATAAAAATGAATAAATTTATTCCTTTATTTTTTAAAATGACATCACAAGAGCAGCAGGGGTAATATTTACCATTATCATAGCATATATTCCCTAATGCACGACAGGCTTGTGTAGCTAAGGCAATGTTTTTACTTGGTAGATGCTTTAATAGGTTAGGCACAACATCTTTATTGACCAGGGGCTCACGTAATGCTTCTGTGGATGCAAAACCTTTGATTTCAGCAAAGTTGATCTTAGAGTTGAAGGGTTAAAACATCCAATGAGCCATTTATTTTATACAATGTTCTATCTGACATTTGAATGCAGCATACAGTGTATTACAAATTGTCTTTGGAATACAATATGCAGTACATCCTGAATATAAATATGCATTGTGTTGTCAGTAGATGATTCACTATAATGTAAAACTCTTGAAAAAATGCAATAGGAAAAATTAATAGCTCACCTGTTTTAGCAAGCTCTGCAATTAATTGTGCTGAGCAAGCAAGAATTGACTCATTATCTGGGGAAGCATTATTTTGAAGATGTTGTAACAAAATCTCAATGCCTTTGTGTTCCAAGATTGAAATCTGAGCTTGGGATTTCTCTTCATTGCCTTCTTTTTCATCTGCACAAAATTAATAACAAATAATAAGTCCAAGTTTAATAAGTCTGCTGTACAAATGCCTACCCAGTTATAGTCAGTAATTAAAACATCATTAGGCTCATTCCTATAATAGACTGAAATCAACATAAAGGTTCAGGACTAATAAAAATGCTCACACAATTACACATTAAACCATCACCCAACATTGTTTTACCCTGTTGCCAGCCCACACCCCAAAATCCACTCAATTAAAACAAACATGAGACAAGGTAAACATGTTCTGTTTAAATAAATGTTCTGAGATCAGGGATACTAATGCAAAAATTGAAGGGAAGACATTTGAGTCAAAATGCATCAGGGCAATTGCCCAGAAATGTTCTAATGTAGAGAGGCTACATAAAATTTGAAGATATAATTATTATAGATGACATCATATATCTTACACCCTTTTCTCTCTGCGTCTCCTTTTCATGTCTGATGTCATAAATGGATAAAACTATAGCTCTGTAATCTACATATTGATGTCTCCTTAGCAAGAAAATCAATAATGTGGGTTCTTAACTTGTGTTATGATTCTCTAAGGGATTAATATAACAAAGCCACCAAGTGATCAATAAAACAAATAAATTCAGAGGAACTCTCAACTTAATGCAGCATAAACCATCTTTTCTTACAAGTTGTAGAAACAAAATTCTAGCTACAGAGAAATTAAATTTCTTAACATACTGAACCCAACTTCACTTGATTTCGGTCATAATAAAATGTACAATAGTTGATGTAGGACAACAAAAAATGAAGAATAAAAATCTTGTTATAATCTGAGTTTACCTCATTTTATAATATGACTGTGAAAAAAAAAAAAATTCTTTATCCATGACAGCATAAATTATATAACTCTTGTCTTTTTAATCATTGCTTCAAAACAAAGAAATCTAATAAATAGGAAAAATAGCAAAAAAACTTAATGGTGTAAATTAATAGGATAGCATCTCTTAATATTTAGTGTGGGCATGAGGGTCAAAATATAAACATGGTAATCGTCTATTATTATTTGAATCTAAACTTTATAGTAAAAGTAAAATCTTCAGTGGTAAATGATAATATATAAATCAAAGTAAAATCTTATAGACAGAATGATAGAGAAAACTGTTATTTCTACTAGTGTATTTGCTGGGTGGCCGAGTGGTGTAAACTGAACAAATCTCAAGTTGGTGGTCTGGAGTTCAATCCCAGCTTTGCCCAGTCAAGCAAAAACATGACCAGCACCCCCATTGATGGGACTCGTTAAACTTGGATGGCAACTCATCTAAGAGAAGGCAACTCTGAAATCAAACCTGGAGATGGAGTCCCAAAATTGTGGATAACTTTGGTACAATGAAACATTACGACAACTCCTGGGTCGTCACGGGTGCCAAGCTGTATCATCCCTTGTTGTTCCCTTGGGTTATCCTTGGAGAGGCTAGTTGCTGTTGGGAACCAGCTTATCTTCCTTGAAGAATAATCACAGGCCTTGTGGAATTCAACCTCCGAAGCCCACACGGATGCCAGCATTTGCAAGCAGTCATTTCATATTTTTTAGTTAATTATATGTTGTAATACAAATTATTTCATACAGTAAATCAAATTGTACACAAAGTCATTCCTTTCAGAATGGTAGGGAAAGAGGAGTCTTTTAAATTGAAGTTTTACTATGCTCATAAACTTATGACAAAAGTATTTTTACTTCTAGTCTTATGTGTTTGGAAAAGTGGACTAAAACTTCTCCTAAGCCTATAGTCAAGCAGAATTGAATTTTTATCTAAAATTTGTTTTTATTTATTTTATCACATAGATACGAGAGCTACGAGAAATTTACTTACTTAAATCACACACACATTGGATGAGTTTAGCTATAACTTGTTCTTGTTGCTGCTTTGAATCTGTGAGACTCAGATTTGAGAGCAAAGCCACTGCATCATCTGTATAAAAATATATATTATATAAAATACATTACTATTATGAATGATTAAATACATTACAATGATGCTGACTCTGGGGGATTTCAGACACACAAAAAAAAAATGTTTTAAGTTTAAGCTATCTACAATAATATCTGTAAATTTAAATTATAATAATAAATTTAATTCAAAATAAATCCACCAACCAAATACTTAATTAAAATTGTAACTCTTCAAGTAAGTTAGGACAATTTTATCAGTTTTTCAAACTGGCTTGTATGTGATTAAAACTGATGATTTGTTAAGTGATATTGATATTACTAGGCACTTTGATTAAAATTTCAAAACATTTTTAAAAATATAAAAAACACTACAGCTGTATAGAGCCTGGAGAATAGATTACAAAAACCACCAAGATCAACTTTCTAGCTCAAGTGGTTCAAAAGTTATGAATTTTTTAGTAGGGACCTCAAAGGCACTTTTTTACTATGGGATTTTCCTCCACATTTTGTGACCCTCAATTTGCTTTGATTCTATCAATGCATGTTAATTTGTGAAACAAGATTACTAACTTGTAAAAAAATGACATACTATTTTTTGGTCATATTCAGACATTCATATGATATGAATAGTATGTCATTTTTTTACAAGTTAGTAATCTTGTTTCACAAATTAACATGCATTGATAGAATCAACTTTGGTGGTTTATACAAACTAAAATAAGTTCTAGTCATTTGCTTGTGGTAAGTATAAGTTTTTATGATTGTTCTTAAATATTATTAATAATATCTTAAGTAATTCTTGGACTATTGTGGCAGAAAGTGTGTTTTTTCTTTGAGAATACAAGGATTATGTAATAATTCTATTGTGAAATATTGTGATATGTGATTAAATATAGGATATTTCAATATGAAAGGTAAGTGACTATTTTTTTGTTTACATTTTTGCATAATCTATTCATTAAATTAAGAATCATAATATTCATTAAAATATCATTACAAATAACAAATATGTGTCACACAAATAATGAGTTGGGCAGGAGCTAGGCCTATACTAAAATACTATACTTTGCTAGGCCTGTATATATATTTAACTTTTATATTTAATATATTAATTATAATAAAATGAGGCTAATAATAATTCAGTTTAACCCACTACCCAAGTCAATACCCTTCAATAAAAGCATCAAAACAAGTTAAAAAAATATATTTATGTTGTTTAGATAGGTATCTGTGTTATTAAATTATTTGTTTTTGTTTTTGAATGAGTTATTTTGGAGTAATAAGCTGGATTTCCATTGTAAATCAAGTTATTTACTTTTTTTTTTTGATTATTAAAAATCGCTATCGATAATAGGTCATTTTGGGACACACGTGACAAAAATTTGGTAGGCATTTTTAGACCATTGAACTGGGTGCTAACCTCTAGAATTTTTGATATGTTGTAATTTATGCTATTATCTCCCGTCGTCTTTTTATTTAAGAAAGACACCCTTTCCAGAAAAAAAATATGAATGAGTAAAATAAGCATTATTTTACTTTCAATTTTCAAAGTTAAGACCTCAAATATTTTTTAGAACAAAAGTGTCTAATCATAAAACAACATGTCTACTCAAAGTTGTGGGCGGAAATAGAATGTTCTTGCTGGGCTATAATTAGCAAAAAAATCGTAAACAACGAGGGTCTCTGTAAATTAAAAAGTGGAGATCGCCATTTTGATAACGAAATCACGATATCCGGTTTTCGGCGATTCCCGGATCTCATCGAAGTGGCTAATATTACATATTTGTTTTTCTGCTATGAATTCTTATTTTGTTAAATTTATAAATCAATACAAAAGGTTCTTTTTTGGTGAAAAAAAATAAATAAAAAAAATAATTGTTATCAATAGCTTAATTATGTCCCAACCCAGATCCAACCAATCACATGTTAAAAGCTTATGGATTCTATTGTGCTGACATATCTGTGACTGTGACAAACATAATATACTTATTAATATTTTTAATGGTAGAGGGAGAAGGCAAAATATAATTTAAGGGGGGATGGTTTACATAACAATAATAAACATATAATTATTATAATCCGTATCAGTATTATTATTATAATCTTTGTTAAAATGTAACAAGGAATTGTGACATTACTTGTTAAGAGAATTTTATAATCAAATTAAAAATGGGCTGATATAAAGGAGGGATGCCACAGCGTCTTTTGTGTGTTTATTATAGTTGCAGTGAATTATGATTTAGGTTAGGTTGAGGGATTGATTTAGGGTTCAAGTTAGGCATAGGGATTGATTTAGGGTTAGGGTTAGGCATAGGGATCGATTTAGGGATACATTTGTGTGCAATTCGATAAAAATGTGGCATTCGTCCTTAAAATTTACCTAAAAATGTTATACGGAAGATTGATAATTAAGTAATAAAAACATAAGAATATGAAATGAATAAATGACTGTATGAGTCCCTTCTCATTCTCACTGCTCTGTGTGTACTGTACTGCAAGACTATCATGTAGGGTTTTACAATTAGATCAATAAAAGTTACTACACAAACATGGGCATTAAGATTAAGAACATGACTTAGAAAATTAAAAGCGTGGTCAACTATAAGCTGTAATCTTAGATCTATCCATGTCTGCTGACTTTGTTACTCTTTTTTTTGAACTGATCCTCCGAGTCTTCTCTCACAATTAAAAAAAAAATTGAATAGCCGAAATAATTTATTTATTTAAGGAGTGGGGAAAAAATGAAAGGCATTGACAAAGAAATGCTTGCCGACACCAAAATTCGTTCCCTGGATTTCAGTTAAGCATTATAAACGTACCCATGATACTAAATGTGTTGTTATCGGGTTATTCAGGTAAAAAAAATAACCGTTATTGTTGACTCAAAATCCATCAAATCAACGAAAAGAGAATAGTTTATAGTGTTGCTAACTTGACACCGGAAGTAAAACCTTCAAATACTAAGCTTAATTTATTTATATCGTTTTATACACATATTTATTTATAAAAAAGTAAGTTTTCATAGAATTAAGATTCACAATTTAAATTATGATAAAAATAAGTGTTACTATTAATTTTTATTGAAATTTTTGACCAAATTGTATTTTAAAATTGTAATAAACTTTTGTTTTCAATTTAATTTATTGGGAATATTTTCCAATGGCATGAAATCGAAAGGATTCTTTTATTCAGACTTCACACCTTCTTTTTGCCTTTAAAAGCAGTTGATTGAAATTTGAAGAAATATTAAGACATTAATTTTTTAAAATTATTAATTATTATACGTTTCATAAACTTCCACCTAAATTACAGTTATTTGTATTAATTTGATATATAAATCTATTTTTAGAAAATCTAGGGTCACTATTTTTCTTGAAAACTGCTATAGGTCAATCCCCTCGATTTTCGTGTAAATTCTCCTCAGCTTCATGGCGGTTTCGATCAAAACATGACCACGTTCACTATTGTTCTGACAGGGGGCTCCCCCTGGGGATTTAGGCTACAAGGTGGCAGGGAATTTAATGAACCAGTAAAAGTAGCAAAGGTAAGCTTACAATAATTTATTTCAATACTTTCCTTTAAAAAATGTTTTATAAACTTCTCTTTCAAGCCGCTCAGAATAGCGATACACACACCTGGATTCCCATCTGAGTAGAGCGCTTTAGCGGCTGTGCTGGGCACTCTTGCACTTACCTGGTTTTTCTAGATTTAGGCTTTCATTTGCTAATCCATGAATGGTTGGAGAAGAAACTGTTTCATCCGTTAAAAATAACCTTTATTGATGTGAAATTATTAGAAGGCACTCGTTACCTTTCATTTAAAGAATTCCCCTAAAATTTGAAACCTACTTTTGTAAACAAAGCAGATGCCACGCCCATTTTCAATTTAAATTATTTCATTAAATTATCTTTCACACACAAATACCAGATAATACAATATGGGAAGATGATTTAAAAAAAAAGATATACTTTTTCAAACTAAAAAAAATTATTTTTATAAATTAAAAAAAAAAAATTTGGCTAACAACAGTATTGTAAATTTAAAAAAAAAAAAAAAAAAAGCCAAAATAATATAATTAAAGGAACTTTTTAAGAACCCTTATTCTACCAATCCAGCCCAGGTATACTCCACCACTGACTCTGTATTGTTGTAAAATATTGGTAGACAGCATAAAATGTGTTTGATTGGGCTTGAATTGGGTTGTATGTTTAAAAATGATTAGAGTACAGTAACCAAAGCTTAATTCTAATAGTCTAATAGGCCACATTTTTTTCAATGAGTGATGCAAGTGAAAGTGCTACAAAAATATATATTGGTAACAATAAAGCTTGTTGACAATTTGTTCCCTGTTTATAAAGTTATAAAAGGATTTGTATGTACCATACAGATGTTTTACATAATAGATGTTTTAAAGGTGTAACTTAAATTAGAAGCTCTCTAATATAAATTATAGTATAGTATAGAATTTAAGTTTGTAATATAGGCCTACTGTAGCTGTAGCATGCTTTCTTAAAATAAGATGTTGTTTCAGTAATACTTGTATGTGTTCTTTTATATGATACTTTATCTTAAGGTAAACAACAAAATATTGAAAAATGTCAAAGAATAATGGGGTCTGTTATAGCCATAGGCATAGACTTTTAATTTTGTTATATTTTGTATGTATCTGTGCCACAGCTTAAAATGACTCCTTGCAGTTTAATGCAAAAGTCATAATAGATCAAATCTCAACAAAAGCACTCTTGTCTTTCTTTGAGATACTACCTGACAGGATTATAAATCTCATGTGTTACAAATGACGCATATTTCTAGTTGGGTTACATTCTTGCCTTACATTTGACATCAACAACTGCATAGGCTGTCCAGGTTTTTTCCCCTTATAATCCCTCAAAGGGGCTTCTTCACATACTTCAAAATTAATAGCCTCCAACAAGATTATTGATTAATCAATGTGCTTTCATTAAATCCGACTCAGGTCATTAAGTCATTAATTACGTTGGACATATCCCCCCTCCCACCCCTCCTTCAATTTAAATAGTCTGATTTAAGGGTGGGCACGTCAATGGATTAGTCACTATATACCGTCCACGTGCTGGTTTTTGTAACCACACACTTAAGACATCATTTCAACAATTTCATTGACTTGCTGGCATACAAACAGGATGGGAAACGAGCATTACACTCTACGTGCGATTTTTGTGCATGTCTAATTGTGTGGATGTGCATGGGTTTGGAAGGTGAGTCTTGAGTGGAAGCGGGTGGGGTGGGGGGGGGGGGGGGTGGCTGGGACAAAACAAAAAATGAGGAAAGGGGGGGGGGGGGGGGGGGGGGGGGGGGGGGGGGGGGGGGGGGGGGGGGGGGGGGGTGCTAGCTAGGACAAATAAAAAAATGAGGAAAGTGTGACGTTACATTATGCGAGCGCCAGGAACATTTATTTTTAAATCGCGTTTTTCCCCCGATCCTTCTCTCTTTAAAACACAGGTAGGTAACGGTTTCCAGATAGAGTTAGTGAGTTCTTGAGAAATTTCACTGTGCTGAGCACTCATTAGCAACGTACACAATACAGAGAATCGGGTTTCATAGAAAGAAAGAAGTAACCCAATAGTGTTGAGATGACGATTACTGCAGAATTCTTTGATGACTGATTCCGCGTGGCTTAATATCATCCCATACTTTGTTTGGTTTAAGAATAAACATTCTCCTGCAGTTGTGTTAATGAAATGTGTGCTGACTTTATTGAACATCGAACACATGTCCTTGCGATTGTGTTATAACCAATGTCAGATCACTAGCGGACTCATGGAAATTGGGTGGTGGATGGTACTGAGCAGTCACTCATTGCCTTCAGTCATCAATTTCCTTTAGTCACTATCTGCCTTTCTCCCCAGGAAATGCAACTACCAGTAAGAGTCTGAACAAATCAAAGCATGTTTACACATTAACTTTCGGAGCCTTGCTTAATTTATGAATTAAACAATGAAATGCAGACGAGATTATTGTGGGGATCTTGCTTTTAGTTTTAATTCCGGCCTAGGTACGCATTCTCCCATTGGGCCTCCTGCAATATGCGTCTGTTGGGCGTTTGTAACCTAGATGAATTATAACGCCATAGTGTGGTAACAGTAGCATTGAAACGTTGCATGACCCGGAATTGTGTTCATATCACCACATTGGCCTAGTTGCAATGTGAACAACAGGGGGATATTGCCTTGCTGAGCTGGTTACAAAAAGTATGTGGTGGTGGGGATGGGGGTGGGGGCGCGCCCCGCTGGCTAAGGACTGGAGGTTTCTGTCCTTAAAAACGCCGCGCAATGACCGGTAAGGTTACATTGCATTTACATGAGAAACCAACAACTAATTGACGTTTTATCAAGCTTCGTGGGCCGCCGTGTAGTAGGACCAACATCAACACATATCTCGGGGTTTCCATTTCGCTGCAGTCACACTGGCCAATGCTATTTTAACGTTTAGACCCGTTGAACGGACATGTAACTTAACATTCATTCATAGCCTCAGTTGCTTTCTACGACTCTCATTTTCAAGAAGAATAGTTTCTATGCATTGTTTTTATTGTCTCTTGACGAAATACAAATGAACATTTAATGGAAATTACTATCTTAAGTCTTAGCGTATTAAAGCAGTTTACGGATCGTGTAAGTTAGTCAGCTGTTACATGATGGGCATCCAATCTCTACAAAGTCCAGATCCCAGCGCGCTGTATGTAGTTCTTAGTTAAAATTCAAATGTCCCTAATGTAAATGAGTCATTGTATCGAGGCAGACTCATCTCTACTCTTCAACGTGTAGTCCCCAGACATTGCATTCTTGTGAGGAGGCTGTCGCGTCAGCAGGGGTCGAAAACCCGGAAATGTCCCTGGACGGCGGGGTGGGTGGGGACGCTTAAAGTTTTAATCTTAACACTTACTTGGGCCCCAATGAAATTATCACCCCCCCCTTTTTTGTGTGTGTGTGTGAGGCACGCTTTTCTTCTCTTTTTTTCTCCTTGCCACTCCATTGCTCTCGTCATGCTTGAAGTCGTCTGATAATTGAACTTCAAAATGATGCACCTACTTTCAGTGCTTCCAAGTCAACGCCAATGTTTCACAAAGATATGCTGCGAAAATGTCACGTGAAGCTATGTCTATCATGTCATGTGGGGATCAGGGTAACTTTACTGACATTTTAAGTCATAATGACTGCTCAAGTTACGGCTCAAATCTTGTCCTTATCTTATTCTTGGATGTAAACATCTGACACGTGCAAGGGGGAAATCAGCAAACGTAGCCTAACATGCATCTATAAGAGTCACCTCGCGCTTAGAGGATTCTCAAGTGTCAGACATTTGCTGCTCTAAAATCGATCCCCTGAAAGCTATTTTTTTTAACAGCGCTACAGAGCTTCTCACTTGCACTTCACTCCCATTTGGTCTTCTTCAGCTATATAAACGTATCGCCATTGTTTTCACTTGTAATAATGTACAAGGAACTTTCAATAATATGTATCTTGGATCTCTCTCTTTTTTTTTTATTTATTCTCCTTGTCGTTTAACTGAACCTATAGACCAGTATCTTCGAATATCAAGCGCTTGTATGCCCCCCCCTCCCCCAACCTCTCCGCCCCTGCCTAATCCTGACATCAACTCCCATGGTATTGTTGGTTAATAGTCCACTGGTCGCCCGGTCCCATCGGTCCGCCGTTCCTAGACAAACAGAATCGGTTTTGGCTTTGATTGTTTCTTTCTGACCGAACTCGAGTGTAAGGCGAGGGCTTACGGCTTACCCTTATAATCAATCATCAGTGGCGTCGCCACGTAATCCTTTGTTGTCGATGATGGCCAAACAGAAGAGGGCTGGAAGCAAATAGTGCATTTCACAAATTCATCTTTGTTTAACTTTTGCCTCTTCACCCTCC